GACCTAGATTTTTATCTAACTTGCTTCCTACTGAAACAGTTGATGTTATTAGAGCCATCCCTTTAACTCGGAATGCTCAGCTACAAGACAACATGTTCTGGACTGGCTCAATGGATGGCTCCTTCACGGTTAAATCGGCATACCAACTCATTCAAGCCCAGCGGAATCTGGCTAATCCTTTGATTGACTCTTAGCGCTGGATTTGGAAGTTACAATGTGCTGAGAGAATTAGGATTTTCATCTGGCTCGTCGTACATGGCAGGTTATTAACAAATTCTATACGAGTTACACATCACATGTCTTCTTCTTCTACTTGCCCCAGGTGTAATCTATCAGATGAAACACCTATTCATTTGTTACGTGACTGTTACTATGCACAAATTATTTGGGGGATGCTGGGTTTTGCAACAACTGATTTTTTTACCACTGAGTTACTTTCTTGGCTTAGGAAGTTTTCAACTCCTTCACGTATGAGCATACATGCAGGGATTCCACGAGCTCTACTGTTCTTATCTGCACTCTGGCTCCTTTGGAAAGACAGGAATGCACTCATCTTCCGGAACCATAAATCGAGACCACAAGAGCTATGTGCTTTAATTTTTCAGCAAGCAAAATATACTATGATTGCACTAAACCCCATCTCTCGGGTTACATCTAGGCAGCAAAGATGGGTAAGTTGGATTCCTCCGGATGCAGGATGGTCTAAGCTGAATTCTGATGGGTCTTACAGTGCAGCTAGAAATTCCGCTAGTGCTGGGGGCTTGATTAGAGACAATTTTGGCAGATGGGTTTCAGGATTCACAGTTAATGTGGGGTGTACCTCTGTTCTCATAGCAGAACTTTGGGGTCTTAGAGATGGGCTTCGGTTATGCCAATCCCTTAGACTTCCTCGTGTTATTGCAGAAATGGACTCTCTTATATCTGTTCGCCTTATCAATGAGAACCAGGAACCAGATAACTTGACTGTAGCTATTCTTTTGGAAATTAAAAGCTTGATGCAGGGATTTGATGCTTGCATATTGCAGCATACTTTAAGAGAGGGTAATTCCGCAGCAGATTTTTTAGCTTCCCTGGGACACTCCACTTCACCAGGATTACATATTTGGGATTCTCCACCACGTGGATTATGAACTATCCTTGAAGGGGATCAGATGGGGGTCTGCTTCCTCCGTTAGTGGTTTTCCTTGTTTTAGTTATTTAGATTCTTTCTGCTGTACCAAAAAAAAAAAAAAAAAAAAACAGGGAAGGATAGCACAACTGAAAAGGCTAATAAGGAAACCAGAAAGGAGTAGTATTAACATGAATGCTTTGAAGTCAAATCTAAGTAATTTTGCAAGAGAAGGGCATAAAGGTGTAGTCTTAGGGAGCAACAATTAAAAGCTTGGGTGAATGCCCTCAATTAACGAAAGTAGGTGCTGATGATGCCTGCTCATTTCTACTTCTTCACCTTCCACCTCTTGTTCGACATCCCAGAGAAACCTCGCATACAATGCTAGCGTATAACTGCATCATCAAATTAAGATAACAAAGTCAATTCACCAGAAACTACCATTGATTGCATAATATTACGACTACAGTGCTTTGTATTCAAAAAAACTAAAAATACTCTCTACCAGTTATCCATTCAATAAATTTCAGAATTCAAGTGATTGAATTCGTTTGTTCCTAAAAATATTTTATCCCCCAAATGTCATAGAGAATTTGGAAAAACAGAGCAATTCAAGTTGCAAGTTTACAATTCTTGTCAACAATCGAAGTCGCGTTATGTAGCAATCATCTATATTAACTACCATTTGGAAGTGTAATTTTCTTCAGAGAATTTCCATTAATTTCGCATGGAGAGTTTATGCTTGGAGCTTACGAATCACTCGAGGAAACTTTAAGAGCTTGCTTGAAGTAAATCTCAGCACGAGAAGCATCCTTATGGCTCTTCCATATCAAATCTGCATACATGCATAGAACAGTAGCATCAAAAGGGCTCGCCAAAATTGCCCTCTCAAAGTATCCTTCGGCTCTGGCAAAATCCCCACGAACCTGTTTCCATTCCAATCTAACGCATTAGATAAAAACAACCGTTACTCTTTAACATGAACCTTAGCTTTTCTCTTTGCATTAAGCCAAATTGTTTCCAATTCTTGAAGTTAGAATCGATTAGAAAGAATCCCAGAAAAGGTAGAACAATGAATCAAGAGAAAATTAAAGAAAATCCATAAGAATTGGGAACTTTTCCGAGACGTACCTCTTTCACGAATACAGCGTAATTGCCAAGATAAAGAGCACTATTGGGATTAGCCTTGATCATCCTGCGATGGCGCAATTCCCTTCTGTCAATTTTATTGTTGGGATCCAAAGAATCCGATCCATCATCGTCGTCATCTCTACCGCTATATCCTCCCCCACCTCCTCTACCGTACGCCTTACTGCCACCACCACTACCACCACCGCCACCGACTCCACACCCTTCCTCCACCACCAGATACGATCCCGTTCTCCATTCGAAATCGGCTTCTTCTCTCTCCTCTGCATCGCACAATCCGCCAAAGACACTGTCATTCACGGCCTTCCTCTTAGGCGCCGCCATGTTCATCACATCGGTATCCTTCAGCGCTCCAGTCATCTTTCTTGTCAAATCATCACTTGTTGCCATTGAAACCGAACTCGAACGCGATACTATCAGCCTGACAGGTCGGCATTTGGGGATCTGGCAAAGCAGTTCCGAGTCCGGTGACGGTTCTTTGGAATGCCAGATCCATGAGTCAAGCATCGGCCGCGATGGGATTCTTAAAGGCATTTCTGCACCAAATCAGATCGATGAAACTGAAAATTTCAAGATTAGGGTTTTTGTTGAAAGATTTGATAAGAGGAGAGTCAGTTCTCTACTCCTTCGGTTCTGCAGCAGAAGATGCTCAATGCCGAAGCAGGGGTGGATTTTAAATTTAAGGAATATTTGCGTACGGATCATATCTGGACCGCTGATTGAATGACAGTTAGTTATATGATTATACGATCTTGTGCCACATGGCTAATTGCTTTGGTCGAATCATCTTCCGGATAGTTTGGCGCGCATCCATTAAAGGAGTCTTTCATGGTCGCTCGTACAAAAAAAAAAAAAAAAAAAAACGAAAGCCATAGT